AGAGAGAGAGAGAGAGGAACATCAATGTGTGAGAGACACATCGATTGGTTGCCTTGCCTCCTGCATGCAACCCAATAGGGCCAGGGATTGAACCTGCAATCCAGATATGGATTCCCTTGACCGGGAATCGAATCTGTAACCCTTCAGTTCAGTGTGAGGGTAACACTCTAACCATTGGACGACACCAACACCAGCCAGGGCAACATTAGTTGTTTAAACTTGCTAATTTTTAGGGTAATTTGTTGCAAAGTAATGATAGCTGATACAATCAACAGAATAAGTGATTAATGAATTTGGTATGTGCTGTCTACAGCTATGGGAGTTAAAATTATAACAGAATATACACCCTGCCCTTGCAAGCTCCCTCCTAAATATCCATCCAAAGTCCCACACCCAACAGTTTTTGTTTTTGTTTTTGTTTTTTTACAGAGAGGAAGGGAGAGGGATAGAGAGTTAGAAACATCGATGAGAGAGAAATATCGATCAGCTGCCTCCTGCACACTCCCTACTGGGTTTGTGCCCGCAACCAAGGTACATGCCCTTAACCGGAATCGAACCTGGGACCCTTCAGTCCACAGGCTGACGCTCTAGTCCAGTGATGGCAAACCTATGACACGCGTGTCAGAGGTGACACGTGAACTCATTTTTTTGGTTGATTTTTCTTTGTTAAATGGCATTTAAATATATAAAATAAATATCAAAAATATGTCTTTCTTTTACTATGGTTGCACATATCAAAAAATTTCTATATGTGACACAGCACCAGAGTTAAGTTAGGGTTTTTCAAAATGCTGACACGCCGAGCTCAAAAGGTTCGCCATCACTGCTGTAGTCTATCCACTGAGCCAAACCAGTTAGGGCCACACCCAACAGTTTTAAGAAATATATAGGAACACATAGCTATTTGTCAAACGCAAATTCCAGAATGAGCCCAGCCAGTGTGGCTTGTTGGCTGAGCACCGACCTATGAACCAGGAGGTCACGGGTTCCATTCCTGGTCAGGGCACATGCCCAGATTTCAGGCTCAATCTCCAGTAGGGGTCCTGCAGGAGGCAGATGATTATCTTTCATCATAGATGTTTCTATCTCTTTTCCTCTCCCTTCCTCTCTGAAATCAATTAAAAATATATTTTTTAAAAAAATGAACTCTGTGATTATGAAATCTTTTTTTAAAATATATTTTATTGACTTTTCACAGAGAGAAAGGGAGAGAGATAGAGAGTCAGAAACATCGATGAGAGAGAAACATCGATCAGCCGCCTCCTGCACATCTCCCACTGGAGACACACCCGCAACCCAGGTACATGCCCTTGACCAGAATCGAACCTGGGACCCTTCAGTCCGCAGGCCGACGCTCTATCCACTGAGCCAAACCGGTTTCGGCATAAAATCTTATTGTATGTGTAATGAGTAAAACCCAGTTAACGAGTCATATGAGAAGAAATAGTTTCCTAAGACAGATCTTTAGTTCAGAAACAAAGTTTACCAAAATTCAGAGATAAATGTTTATTCAAACATTCCACAAGGAAGTATATTTTATAGAAGACATCCTAATATTAGCCAAATACCTAGTTGTAGACCAGATCATTCAAAGCTGCATGCATGACTTAGCCTTAGTAGGATGAACTCACCTTCCTAATTACAGTACAGCAATTATATTGAGCAACAGTCCAAGGGCTTCAAAGGCCAGGGTATGGAAGCAACCAAGCTTTTAAAAAAAGTTTAGAAGTTTAGTTGCTGCCAAACTGCCTAATTTATAAAAAGAAAGTAATTATTTGTTCTGATATTAATAAGGAAGCCTAGATATGAAAACCCAAAAGATCAATTTCTATCTCTAGACTGCTAAGATATTATTCCTATTTTACTGGCAAGGCAATCAGCAGATGTTCCAAAAGCAGCTTGCGTAAAGCCCTTCAGCTAATAGTGAGCAAGGACTCCTCCTTGCTGAGGAACAGAGGGTGGAGTTCTTAGGATGAGAGTGTAACAGATGCACTCTCTGCTCCTCTCCCTTTATTGCAGCCCACGCTGAAAGGGTGGCACTTCCTCACCTCCTGAGGCTCACTTTGCTCATAAATCTTGAACTGGATATAGAACAAATGGTACCCAGTATAGGGTGGCTGTGCAGAGACCTATGACATGCCCTGACTCAAACCCGGAGTTCACCATGAGATTGCCTCTCAGATGGTTAAGGTAAGCCATGCTGAAACCTCCTGATGAACAGAGTTTAGAGAGCTGAGGAAGTACAAATTAGTGAACAGAAGTTGCAGATAGAATAAAGATAGCTGTAATAGAAATGGCTGAGAGGAAAGTGAAGCTGATATCCTGGTGGGAGATGAAGGAAGCAGGGCCTGAGAGCCAAGTTAGATCCAGGGAGCCAACTCTCTTACAGAGCCTTGTCCAGGGCATGGGCACCCGAATCTTTAAACTAAATCCCTATTGCAAGGCCACAGGAGCCTCTGCTCTGGGACACCACAGGAATTGGACTGAAGCAGTGTAGGATTCAGACTCACAATTCACCTCTCACCTGAGGCCTGGGACACAGCCAGTTTTCAAAGCACATTTGTTAAATAAATGTGTTTGAAGAAATGAATCAATAGTCTTGTTTTCCCAGGACCTAATTTCCCACAGCATCCTAGGAATAACTCCTGAATATGAACGCCTTCTGCCTTCCTGGTTCCCAAGTTGCTTTCACATACTTTAATTGCCTTTTATCTTTACAACAACCCTGTGGGAAACCCAAGGCTGATATTAGCCTCACTTGGCAGATAATTATCATCCCCATTTTACTGATGAGAAAATTGAGGCTTGGGGAAGTTAATAACATGCTCAAAGTCATAGGCTGAGAAGGACAGAAGCCAGCGTTCTTTCACCAGAGGCTGGCCCCCTGCATACAACTGAATCCCAGGCAAAGAGGTTGGAACACAGAGGTTGTATTAAATCAGAGGGTATTCATTTCAAACGATATTGATGGGATTACATCTTATACTCTTCCCAGACACATTCAAGTATGTTAGCAACTTTGAAGCACAAATCCTCTGAACCGGGTGATGAGGGAACAGGCATGAGGATGGCAGGTTTGGTCCTTTCATGTCAGGGAGGCTTTGCACAAGCTTTAATAGGGTGCAAGAAACCACTCTTGTAAGTTTGGTTAGTCATTAGACTGGTCTGGGGAGAGAGTAGGGGCAGGTCACAGGGAGCTGGATGGCAAAATGTGGACAGGACAATTTAACCAGGAAAAGAAAAAATGATGGAGGAGGAAAATGGGAGAGAATGGATTGACTAGGAAGGAAAATTGTAAGAGAACAGGAGAAACAAAAGGAAAGGCAGTTCAGTTGTGTAAATCAGCTGTAGCCCTGGGCTTAGTGGCTGCTTTCTCCACCAACAAACCACAAATAAGAACCTCTGCAAAAGCAGTGGTTGCCAAAGAGCCAAAGGCCAATAATCAAGGCACTTACTTTTAAAAAAGTGTCCCCAAATCGTCCTATTTTCAGGGGGGAGAAAGGGGAAGTATGTACTAGTTATACATGTTACTTTATAACACTTCAGGTGTAATGGTGAGTGATCCAGAACCCAGTGAGACCAGCTCTGAAACTCTGTGCCATCACTTGTTAGATATGACTTTGTTCAAGTTACTTTAATTTTGTCAGTCGTTATCTGTAAAATAGATATTAAAAGTATTTGCTACCCAGCCTGCATGGCTCAGTGGTTGAGCATCAACCTATGAACCAGGAGGTCACCACATTCCCTGGGCTGCAGCTCGATCCCCAGTGTGCCAGTATGGGGTGTGCAGGAGGCAGCCAATCAATGATTCTCTCATCATTGATGTTTCTTTCTCTCCCTCTCCTTTCCTCTCTGAAATCAATAAAAATATATTTTAAAAAAAGTATTTGCTTCTCAGAGTTGTATTAAATCAGAGGGTATTAAATGGAGCCAGGCACTAGTTAGCACTCAGGAAAATGGTTATGATTCATGCTCAGGAATTCAGGGCTACAGAAAAGCACATCCTAACCCTACCCTTGTAATACATCCACCTTATTCTTTGCTTTTCCTACTCAACAAGCTTTACAGCTCTCAGCAATCATTAGTCTGAGAACTAACATTCATACGCAGAGCTAAGGTGGGCCAGAAAAGGGGTGGGTTGGGTGAGGTCAGGACCCCGCAGGGCGAACAGTTTGAGCCGCGGATTAAACCAGACTTCTGGCTATCCAAGAGCAGCTAGTGGACTCTCTGTCCCGGCGGCGATCCTGCCCCCACGGCTGGAAATGACTTTCTTTCTTTTATATATATATATATTTTATTGATTTTTTACAGAGAGGAAGGGACAGAGATAGAGAGTTAGAAACATCGATGAGAGAGAAACATCGACCAGTTGCCTCCTGCACACTTCCTACTGGAGATGTGCCCGCAACCAAGGTACATGCCCTTGACCAGAATCGAACCCGGGACCTTTCAGTCCGCAGGCCGACGCTCTATCCACTGAGCCAAACCGGTTACGGCATGGAAATGACTTTCAGAACTGAGTCAGCGTGCCTCCAGAATATAACTAGCTGGGCTGTTGTCTACTCAAAATTAAACATCTTGTAGGGCGAGATTCCACATTTGTGTCGGCGCCGGGGTTACTGCGTGACCCCCCTTCTCAACATTCTTCCTCTTAACTCAGGCCGGTCCGCGTGAAGGGCCTTCTCCGCGCTCCTCGCGCTAAGACGCGCCGGGCGGGATCGGACCCCGCTGTCGGCTCGCGTTCCCCGCACCTCTCTCGCTCCACGCGGTGACCCGGAACCTGCTGCAGCCAACCCCTCCCCACCCGCGGCCCGGCGCCGAGTCGCTCTACTTCCCTCCAGGGCCCGCCAGGCTGCAGCTGTACTGGCAGCACCCTCCGCCGCGGCAGCTCAATAAACCTGTAGGCAGTCCCGGCGGGACCGGTGCCCAGACGCTGCGCGACCCGGAAGCCGGCTCCGGGGGAAGAAGCCTGGGAAGCCCCAACCGCGCAGGCGCCTCGAGGAGTCCCCGACCAGGCCGGCGCCGCTTCCGGGCCAACATGGCGGCCGCGTGGCTGCTGCTGCGTGCCCTCCGGCAGGGCCAGGGTCCGGGTCCCGGGCGGCTGTGCGGCCCTTGCTTGGGCTGGGGCCCGAGTCTCCACGTCGGGTTCGGGAGGAGGTGGCCGTACTTCGTCTACAGGACTCCGATGGGTGTCGCCGAGGCTGGAGGCCGAGTCCTGCAGGTAACCCGGGTCGCGTAGATGCCGCTCCCGCCGGGGCTGGGAGGCGGTAGCGCGTTATGCAGGCCCTGGCTTGGGTGTTTCCAGCCCGTACTTCGGGTGTTGGTATTTTCTGCCTGTATTCCTTGCGTTTTAAAATCGAAGACAATAAGAGTTTCATCATTTTCTATTAGAGAAGTATTTTACATTTGGCTCAGACCAGAGCCCCTCAAGATGAATTTTTCCACCGTGCACATAGTAGCTGGCCACAGTCCTCAGTGGCCTGAGGGTTTGTGTGAGCAAAACACCACGTAGCTGTAGTTTACTTTCGTCGTGCAGCAGCCTCAAACGTTATCGATACAAATTCATGGAGCACCTTCGATGTGAATGCTGTGTTCCAGACCCTGCTAAGGTTGACATTTCATCCTGAAAGCAAGCGCTAAGTCCTGGTGCGTTTTTTTTGTTTTGTTTTTTTTAAAATATATTTTATTGATTTTTTACAGAGAGGAAGGGAGAGAGATAGAGAGTTAGAAACATCGATGAGAGAGAAACATCGATCAGCTGCCTCCTGCACATCTCCCACTGGGGATGTGCCCGCAACCCAGGTACATGCCCTTGACCGGAATCGAACCTGGGACCTCTCAGTCCGCAGGCCAACGCTCTATCCACTGAGCCAAACCGGTTTCGGCCCTGGTGCGTTTTTAGCTGATTTTTTCTTCCCAGACCTTTCTTAGCAATTCAACCCTCGCATTTTAGGTCGAAATTTATTATTATTTTTACATAATTTGAGAACCAATTTTAATTATAGTCCTATTCTAGATTACTGGCCACTTTCCTGAACTTGAGGGCAACTATAGATATGCTGCCCCCTCCCCCCTTTTTCATTCTATTGAGAAGGAACATAACTTATTATCTTAAGTCTGATCCTTTGCTTATTCTGTAAAATAAGAGCTTAAATAAACAACTCACACATACTTGTGAAATCTAAGCAAATTCTCTCACCAATGGCTATAATAGTAATAAACTAAGTAAGCTGGTTTAAACAGTCTTTGGGGCTGACATTGAAGAATGATGATTTTTGTGTGTACTATATTTAACACACTGATGTTGCTTATTTATTAGGTCCAGTCCACACTCAGTGGCCCTCTTCTATATGATCTCTTCTTGTCACTGAGGCAAGAATAGTAGTATTTATTAAATGGGACAATAATTGTATAGACTAGAAATTTTCATTCTATTGCTAAAGGAAATTGCATGTAATGTGCTCCTCACCGAGGAGCATTGGGCAAGGTGTTAACTTTTCTTCATAGCAGCAACAGAGCAGAAATGAGCTAAGGAAAAAAAATTAAAAATAAGTGACCCTGGCTGGGTAGCTTAGTTGGTTAGAGCATCCTCTCGATACGCCAAGGATTTGGGTTTGATCTCTGGTCTGGGCATGTACAAGAAGTAACCAGTGAATTCTTCAGTAAGTGAAGGCTGCCTTGTATTTCAAACATGCTTTCTATCATTCATTGACTGTATGCATTTTGTTATGCACATTTCATTTGTTTAATAAGGTGTGTAAGACACCTTTCTAGATGAAACTCTGTGTGCCACACTTTGCACTACTCATAACATAATGATAACCTCAAGATTATCAGGAGAAATATTTAAATTTCCATTTTATGAAGAACCAAATTATTAGTTATGCTTTTTAAAAAAATTACCAGTTTACATAATTAATCAGGGTGCATTTTAAGTTCTAACTTTTTTTGTTTATTGTATAATGCATCATTTGAAAATACCAAGGAAATAATCCTTTTGTTTTCAATGATGCATGAGTGGAAGTAATGCTAGTTGGCAGTATTTGATTATAAGAACTCAATAAAGTAATTGTGTTTAAAAAAAATTAAATGAAACAACACATAGATGTTTCTCTCCTTTTTCTCTTTTTCTTTTTCTTTCTCTTTCTCTGTCTCATATCAATCAACCAATAAAATAAATAATAGAACAAATAAAGAAATTGCCAACATAGATACAGAAAAAATTAAATTGGCCTTAAGAATATGAAACATATTCAAGTGGGAGAATGCTCATCTTGAAAACAGAACTTTGGAAATATAGACTGGTACACTACTGTAGTACCTGGAAGACTGATCCTGGTTGTCATTTTTTTTTTTTTTTTCAGAGTTTCCAATTGCGACTGTTAACCCCTACCTTTGAAGGGATCCATGAATTGTTATTGAAACAGCATCTAGTCCAGAATCCATTGAGGCTCTGGAAGCTTTTAGGTGTGTATCTGTTGAAAGACAAGTGACAGGCAAAGCCTGGGCCATTTGTGAGTAAATAAAGGGTAATGTTGCTGGTTTGACATTGACAGAAAAACGAAATCACTAATCAGACCTTTGGCTTCTATATATCATGAGTCCTTAGATGCTTTGAAATGAAGTTTACAAAAAGGATGGTTGTCTAAGATCAGAACAGGCCATTTTTGCTTATTTTGAATCATTTGTTTTTTTTTAAATTCTGGTGTATAGCAATAATTGGGCTGCTTGAAAAGTTTTGTCATGTTTTCATGTTCTCTAGCCAGCTCCAAGAACGTTTGTAAGGATCTACAGAGTGGCTCATGTGTTTTATAACCAGAAGGTAACTAAAACTAGCCTGGAAATAATTTGCTTTCACTATAGACTTGCACTGTTTAGTGAGACTCTGACATCCTACTGTCTCTCTTGACCTTAGGTCAAACGATCTTAAGGAGTGACTTCTGTAATTTGACTCCCTCCTTTATCCAGTTGGAATAGGGAAAAAGTAAAATCTTCTGACTGCTAGTATACATCAGATAGCCTGGTGTCCACACATGGTGAGAAAGCTGTGACTTGGGGGCAGTTTGCACATCTGGTATCTGTGTTTTTTCTCTTTTTATTTTAATATATTTTATTGATTTTTTACAGAGAGGAGGGGAGAGGGATAGAGAGTTAGAAACATCGATGAGAGAGAGACATCGATCAGCTGCCTCCTGCACACTCGCTACTGGGGATGTGCCCACAACCAAGGTACATGCCCTTGACCAGAATCAAACCTGGGACCCTTCAGTCCGCAGGCTGATGCTCTATCCACTGAGCCAAACCGATTAGGGCTATCTTGTTTTTTCATTTAAATCTACACATGTGCCCAGTGGCACACCTTTCAACCTTCAACAGCCTAATCTGTGTCAGGTGGCCATCAAGGTAGTTTCACTTGTGATTCTGTTAATGTCTGTGAAGAAAAGTACAACTCGGTCATAGTTTTGAGAATCTTTCCCCCCCATTTTTAACACTGATTTGTTAAGACCTTGGATAAAATAGGCCTTTTGTGTGAGGAGTGTTATGTAGTCCTGTTTCGGTGATGGTGACAGTTGACTTGCTGCCTTACTGCATGTGCCAATGCCATTTGTGTCCTTTATTTGTTCATTTAAAGTGACTATATATTAGAGGGATTATTCTTCAACAAATTCCTGACACGTTCTCAAATTTAAGTTCATAATTAATTTTCACTTTCTCACATTCACTATTTTAAATCACAAAGGTATTTCATAAGTTGAAGTAGTTTATTGTTCTATAACTAGAGGCCCAGTGCATGAAATTCGTGCACGGGTAGGGTCCTTAGGCCTAGTTGGCAATCAGGGCCAATCAGGGGTCGATCTGGGGGCAATCAGGCCCCGCCCCTGCTTGCCAGCCCCACCCCCAGCCACTGCCTGTCACCTCCCTCTGTGGGGCAACCAGTGGGGTGATCAGGGGGTCCCTCGCTGGCACCTGCCTTGGCTGGCCTGGGGCCTGCTGGCTAGGGCAGCTCCTGCGTTGAGCATCTTCACTCTAGTGGTCAGTGTGCATCATAGTGACTGGTCGTTCCACCTTTTGGTTGATTTGCATATTAGGCTTTTATTATATAGGATTTGTAAATACTATACTAAGAATGATAGAAGAAAATGCTTTATCTCAAACTTCTACATCTTATAGGTTTTAGATAGTTTCTATTTTGATTTGGTTATTTGAAAATGTACTCTTCTCCTAAGTATTCCCCTATAGTTGCAGATCTTGATTGTTAAACACTTTCCCTATTCCTTGTAGGTGGCACTTACTATTTCAACACCTCAAGGAAGAAGCAGAAGACTAAGGACCATGATAAATCCAAGGGGAGGACCCCTGAAGATGATGAAGGTAGCTCTATTGGATGTTCTGGAATGATGGCTGGCTTCGTTGCCTTCACAAGCACATTCTAGCCTAAGCAACAGGAAACCTATTTTATTTTTTTCCATTGATTTTCTTTTTATTTTTAGAAAGAGTGGGAGGGAGGGAGAGAGAAGGGGGGGGGGGAGATCAATTGTTTGCTTCCTGCATGTGCCCCAACAAGGCTGGGGATCAAACCTTCAACCTGGGTATAAGCCCTTGAACAGGAATCAAAACTTCAACTGTGGCCGAAACCGGTTGGGCTCAGTGGATAGAGCGTCGGCCTGCGGACTGAGAGGTCCCAGGTTCGGTTCCGGTCAAGGGCATGTACCTGGGTTGCGGGCATATCCCCAGTGGGAGATGTGCAGGAGGCAGCTGATCGATGATTCTCTCTCATCGATGTTTCTAACTCTCTATCTCTCTCCCTTCCTCTCTGTAAAAAATCAATAAAATATATTTAAAAAAAAAAAAAAAAAATTCAACTGTGAGGGCAGATACTGTAACCACTGAGAATACTGGCCAGGGCAGAAAACCTGTCTTAAAAGTAGGGCAAGCCCAGGCACCTGTGCTCCTCTCCCTGAGTACACCTATCCCCAATCTCTAATTCTGTTGCTGGATCCTTCCTGTCTGTCCTTTTAGAGACGCTTTCATCAGCACCTGTCTCGTGTCCTCTTCAGAATGCCTAAAGGTAGGGAGCATTTCTGTTCTTTGCATGGAAAAAGTGAATCTTAAATCTCCCCCATACTCAAGAGTTCTGGGGCACGAGGAAGGCACTAGGACTTCTTGGCTAAACTCACCCCCATACACACCTGGTTAGTAAGCTTGAGAAGTAGCCCCCAGAGGAGAGGAGGGTGCAGTGTAAAGAGAACATAGGCGATCACTGTCCTATGAGAAGACCACTGTGATCCTGTGTCAGCCTCCAGTCCCAGTTCACAGTGAACTCACTTGGAAATGTTAAGTCTTATCTCTACTCTGAAATTGGGACCAGATGATCATATAAAGAGTGAGGGAAATAAAAATGTAAGTTTGAACTGAATTTACCTCTAAGGAGCTGATAATAATGAGAAGGAACTGGAGCAGCTTGTGCTAAGGGTGCAGCTGTGCGTGTGTGTGTGTGTGTGTGTGTGTGTGTGTGTGTATACATACGTACGGACATACACACTAGTCTGGTTTTTATTTGAAAAGAATTGAACTTTTGTGAAGAAAACAGAACAGGTGTTTATTGGAGTCCAATCCAAACTGTCCTTTTACTGTTTTTAGACATTCTACAGAACTGTCTTATTTAACACCAAGCTATATCTTTTGAAAATTGTAGATCTGTTTCGCACTCTAGAACAGATGGTTGTGAGTCACAGAATTGCTTTTTTTAAACCCCTTTCACATGGGGTGTGGTGGGGCATTACGTGCAGAACATTGAGGAACAGGAGTTGATTTGTGCACTGCAGCTACCCAGTCAGGAACAGGGGATTTACAAGTTCAGCATCTTAAATGTATCGAAAATAGACATTGTGATCATATAAAGCCTCTAAAGGAGAGATGTTGGCATGAACCTCATTCAGGTCAGTGGTTTGATGACTGTCAGTGTTACTTATTAGAAAACAAGATTGAAAATAAAATATTTGAAGTAGATGGTTTCTAAGTAATTAATACTCACCTGAGAACATAAATTTGCTTTCCAAAATAACCTGTAGCCTTTATTTAGCTGCCTTTTGTGAGTATGAACTTTAAATATTAGGTTTATTACTATAATCTATTATAACAAGATATGAAATATCATATTTACCATCATGTTTTCAAAACAATTACTAGGACAGCCTTCTCAGTGAGTTTCATTTGTGTGTGTTTTTTTCAGTTTTTGAATTCTTTATTTGTTCTACTGTTCTCTGTTTTGTCACTTGAGTTTTAAACTGATTTAAAGTGCTTTTGAATTCCTCTGATTGTTGGAGAGAAAGATGGTGTGTTTGTGGTGATACCTCTAGGCAATGCAGAGAGGGGCAGGTGCACAGTGAGTTCCACCTGTGCTCTTGTCCTTGGAGAAGTGACTACATGTGTAGCTTGCTGTGGACCTCCCACCCCAGGCTTTGGGCTGAACCCTGCATTTGTCCTGGGTCCTCTCTTGCTTCCCCTAAGTGGATGTGCACGTTTGTGCATGAAGGAACACATGGATTGTGGGGAGGACAAATAAGTGGCTGAAGTTTTGGCTGCTGAGATAGATCTGGACCCATCTTGGGCAAAACGTGGTGAAAGATTGCTTGCATTTCTCAGTGGGCATCATTAACAGCAGGTCTGGTAAAATCTAGTTGGAGTGTTGGGGAGGATGACCCACACTGCACAGGTGAGCTCCACAGGAGTAGTTCTAGGGCCTCTTTTTGTAAACAGAGGTGCTGGATGGTTGTAAGGACTGGGGTAAGTGGGCCATGACCATGGAGAGTACCATATAATTAAAATACAGCACCTTTCCCTCCACCTCAGCAGAGGACGGGGCTATCTGGTTAGGGGACTTGGGCAGAAGACTGTGTGGTCTCGCCTTTGGTGGGTTACTAAAATCCAGCCCACTTGTAGAACTCCTTTTCCCAGCTTTGCTCTGGGCCAGAGAGAAGTAACCCCTGCACGTGCTTTCTGTTCCTCCCCAAAAGTTTCTCCCTCATTCCCTTCTTCCTGGAGTGTTATTCTGTCCACCATGTGCTGAGGTTGACTCACCTCTCCCGAGGTTTCCTCATGACTTTAGATCCGGGGTTGAGTCTTCTGTCTTTTTCCATTCACAAGAACTGAACTTGAAGCTATCTATATCCTAAGTGGGGTATTAATAACGGCGTAATGCACCCTAGCTTGTTTGGCTCAGTGGATAGAGCATTGGCCAGCGGACTGAAGGGTCCCAGGTTCGTTTCTGGCCAAGGCCACATACCCATGTTGTGGGCTTGATCACCAGTGGGGAGCGTGCAGGAAGCAGCCAATCAATGATTCTCTCTGATCATTGATGTTTCTGTCTCTCTCTCCCTCTCCCTTCCTCTCTGAAATCAACTTAAAAATTTTTTTTAAAAATAACTGAATAATGCAATGTGGTGGTGGTGGTGGTGGTAGTGGTGGTAGTGGTGGTAGTGGTGGTGGTGGTGTTACCTGATAGATCTGAGAAAGAATTGTTCTTTAAGAATAGTCTAGAATTAAGTAGTTCCCAGAATTAAGTAGTTCCCAGAATTAAGTGGACCCCCGTATATGTCTAGTGACTAAACAGTATATCTTGCACTTTAAATATATATCTAATTATTTTTAGAGAGAGTAAGAGAGAGAGAGAGAAGAAATCTATGTGAGAGAGGTACATCCATTGGCTGCCTCCAGTACTTGCCCTGACTGGGGACCAAACCCACAACCTAGGCATGTGCCCTGACTGGAAATCGAGCCAGGGACACTACAGTGTACGGGATGATGCTCCAATCAACGGGCCAGGGCTATCTTGCCCTTTTCAAATGTTATTGTGATGAATGACCTATAACTTATTTGAATGTTACTCATTATGATAAATATCAAGTGTAACATAGTGGTTGCGGGGAGGGCATATGGGGTCTTCAGAGGCGTCGGAAAGGTATTATTTCCTTTATTTTAATTTATTATCATTATTATTAAATATATTTTTATTGATTTCAGAGAGGAAGGGAAAAGGAGAGAGAGATAGAAACATCAATGATGAGAGAGAATCATGGATCTGCTGCCTCGATCCCGCAACCCGGGCATGTGCCATTGATTGGAATCAAACCCAAGACCCTTCAGTCCACAGGCGAATGCTCTACCCACTAAACCAAACCCGCTAGGGCTAATTTATTACCATTTTTTAAAAATAATTTTTTTATTTCAGAGAGGAAGGGAGAGGGATAGAAATAGAAACATCAGTGATGAGAAAGAATCATTGATAGATTATCTTCTTCATACTCCCTGTTGGGGGTCAAGCTCACAACCCAGGCATGTGCCCTGACCAGAGTCTAACCATGACTTCCTGGTTCGTAGGTTAACGCTCAACCACTGAGCCACATTGGCCAGGCAGGAAAGGTTTTATTTCTTAAGGTAGGTGGTGGTAAAACATTTGTTTTATTGTTATTAATACTTACACATGTGTCATAAATACTCTGTTGATGATGTTTAGTATCTAATCAAGCCTGGAACCTGAAGTACCTGACTTTATTATGGCTTGGGTCAGATACGTTTTTAGTGAAGGAGTTTACTGTGCAGCTGTACTTTGTGGTGGTCCTGGGAGGTTTATTGTTTTGTTTTGTTTGTTTTTTTAATATATTTTATTGATTTTTTACAGAGAGGAAGGGAGAGGAATAGAGAGTTCGAAACATCGATCAGCTGCCTCCTGCAAACCTCCCACTGGGGATGTGCCTGCAACCAAGGTACATGCCCTTGACTGGAATCAAACCTGGGACCTTTCAGTCTGCAGGCCAACGCCCTATCCACTGAGCCAAACCGGTTAGGGCTTTTGTTTTGTTTTTTAATGTTTTTATTGATATTAGAGAGTGAGAGGGAGAGAGACAGACAGGCAGACTGACAGACATTGTTCAGTTGTCTCCTGACCGGAGCTCAAACCTGCAACTTGGGTATGTGCCCTAACTGGGAATCAAACTGGCTTTCCTTCAGTGTATACAATGATGCTTAAACCAACTGAGCCATATGGCCCCGGCCTGGAAAGCTTTTTTTTTTTTTTTTTTTTTTTTTTTAATATATTTTATTGATTTTTTACAGAGAGGAAGGGAGAGAGATAGAGAGTTAGAAACATCGATGAGAGAGAAACATCGATCAGCTGCCTCCTGCACACCCCCTACTGGGGATGTGCCCACAACCAAGGTACATGCCCTTGACTGGAATCGAACCTGGGACCCTTCAGTCCGCAGTCTGACGCTCTATCCACTGAGCCAAACCGGCTAGGGCTGGAAAGCTTTTTTATGTTAAAAATGATTTCATATTTTCTAAGCTGGTGGGACCTCTGAATGGAATGTTGGTGACTTTGAATAGCTTGTGATTACCGTTTGTCTCAAATCACTTTGTTGAAAAATAAGCCAAAATGTAGGATCTTATGGAAGATGAGACTACTGTCTTAATGTTGAGCTTTGCTGATGAAAGGATGTAAAGCATAGAGGGTGCACTTGGCCTGTGGGCTACGTCTAACACTCCTGATCCCTACTCACAGAGGAGAGGAAGCGCAAGGAGCGAGAGGACCAGATGTACCGTGAGAGGCTGCGCACATTGTTCATCATCGCTGTTGTCATGAGCCTGCTGAATGCATTTAGCAGCAGTGGGGGCAACATTTCCTGGAATGACTTTGTCAACGAGATGCTGGCCAAAGGCGAGGTGCAGCGGGTCCAGGTGGTACCTGAGAGCGACGTGGTGGAAGTGTACCTGCACCCTGGAGCCGTGGTATTCGGGCGACCTGTGAGTGATGACAAGGGCACAAGCGTGGAAAGACCTGGAGACGAGTGTGTATCCTCCTTTTCACTCAGTCCCTGCCCACCCTCATTTTTTTGGTTGTCATATTTTATGTTTTCTTAAAAGAAGATGTGAGTATCTTTATTTAAAGGAGGATTTGTTGGAGGTTTTTGAGTGGTGGCCCACTAAGATGGAGCTTAAAATGGGGAAAGGCAGTGTTGTCTCCAATAGAAGCTAGTGGGGTCCACAGCTGCCATGATGTCTGTACATCAAAAGGAAGAGTTAGAAGTAGTGACAGGGTGGTCATAGTGGTGACTCCCTGGTACTAAGGGGAGAGGAGCCAGCTGCAGTCCTGAGCATTTGTTCATTCTGTTGAGGCATGTGGTGTGGTGCTGGCCAGAGGTTAACAGACAGGGTAGTTTTTGGCAAATGCAGGTGATATGAGGTGACTAGGGGTTGGCGAAGCAGAAATCTCTTGGGGGTTTAGGATGGGGGCAAGAAACTAACAGTACTGTGAGGGGGTGGCTAAAAACTAGAGTCTGCAAGGGCTGGTTCTCCAACAAGAGCAAAAGAGAAAAGGAACAAGGAACCTTTTTCATTTCCTAGCTCAGACATCCCCTTCACCTCAGGAGAGAACCCCAGCATAGTCAGAACTAGAGAGTGGTGCCCTAACCAGAGGCGGTGGCAGACACTGCAGAGGGGTCAGGAGTGTGGGATTTCATACCAGGTACAAGGTTAGGCATCAAAGACTGGGAGAGACACACCCTAGTGTCAGTGGCCTAGTTGTCTGGCACTGCTGGGAAATGAGGTGAGGCATATGGAGACGGCCCCAAAAGTTTGGGTGAAAATGAATCACTCTCCAATCTCTGATTCCATTCTTTTCATTCTCCAGTAGCCACAGCACCATAGTTTGGCCCAAGAAAGGTAACATTGACATCAGAATTTTTTTTCTTTTGTCTTTTTTCACCCAGGACTTTATTTTTTTATTTTTTAAATATATTTTTATTGATTTCAGAGAGGAAGGGAGTATTCTCTCCCTTATATCATGCTCCCACAGCATGCCTCATGTGCACTACATTCTCTACTCTGGTTTTTTAATATGGTTGAGGTGTCACTGGAGTGCTCATCCTCCCCTAAGATGCTTGGCTATGAGTACAGCACAACCCAGTTTCTCTTACATCAGATATCTAGCATGGTATTTGCAGCTGGTTGTCACTTAGAAGGGCTTGTAATTTAGTTGGGATGATAGGATCAACACATAGTCTGCTGAAAGTAAAAGTTAAATTCCAGCACACTTCAGAAATGAATGGTGATACCCTCATTAGGTAGCTCAGTTGGTTAAAACATTATCCCAATATGCCAAGGTTGGGGGTTCGATCCCTGGTCAGGGCACATGCAAGAATCAACCAGTGAATGTATAAATAAGTGGAACAACAAATCGAAGTTTTTTTTTTATCTCTGTTTCTGTCTCTCTATAATAAAAAAGAAAAAAAAAGAGCGGTGATGATGGGTGCTGCTTGTCTCTGAGTATTGAGTGATCTGGGTGGCTGCAGCAGGGCCTTACAGAAGTGAGAGGATGATTCAGGCCCAGGTGACCAGTTTTAAAGAGGACATGCGAGTTGAATTGGCTTCTGGAATCATATATTGTGCTCTTGGATCTTGGCATAGAAAGGGTGTAATTTCTACGTTTTTCCCTTCAATTAAGTTGTGACCCCATTTACATGGTTAAGCCCGGTTTGAGTGATCAAAGCATTGAAGAAATCCAGATCAAACATATGGGGTCTGTTACATTATTCAGCAGCTGAGGCAAGTGGGTGTTCCAGCATAGGCCATGGTCACTATATTGTGACTGGTTGGTCCTCTTGTCTGCCTCTCCATCTGGCCTATTACTCCACAAAGTGGAGCCCGGCCAACTGGACTACGAGTGACAGTTACTCCACAAGAGATTTTTTGAGACTCTTAAGATCCGGGGTAAATCTAGTTGCTCAGTTTAGATTCCAGGGTGTGTTTAGAATTTGAGCTTGAAACGATTTAACTTTGGAAAGCATGTGGAGCAGGATCTTAGGAAAATGATGTGGAATTTATGCTCCTCCCCTAGAGAGTTGCACAGATATTTATCCTGTGGAAGCTTCAGACTAGCTAGCCCAGGAGCGATCAATCCCTGTGATGAGTTCAACTCATTGAGAACAGACTTGGGGACTCAGTATGGATTCCTAGACTGGTTTTTAGTTTCCTTTCTCAAAAGACTGCATCTGGAGGAGGCAGTTTCTTCTATGTCCAGGAAAGGTTTACTGAGAACAAAGACACCCACTTAGTTGAATTTCAGATTCAGTCAGTGGTTAAACACACATCTTCATATTTTGCCTAGTGGACTGTGTCCCAATCCAGTACTGCAGAATTGTCACTATCTCTGTGCTCTGCACACAGCTGTGTGGGGCAGGGTGCGGAGTTTGAAATGCAATGCCTCTCTCCATTTTCTTAAAATGTTCCTATTTGTGAAAATAAGAGAAAGCATATCTGTTAAAATTTTGATGTAATTGTGTTTGAGACAATGAAAGTTTTTTAGATGTGGATGTAGTTTCTGAATGACATCTGTATGTTTGAGGAATCGGCATCACTCACAGGCCCTGTGCCTTCTGCCCCCAGAGGCTGGCTTTGATGTACCGAATGCAGGTCGCAAACATCGACAAATTTGAAGAGAAGCTTCGAGCGGCTGAAGATGAGCTGAATATCGAAGGCAGGGACAGGATCCCGGTTTCCTATAAGCGTACAGGATTCTTTGGAAAGTATGTGTCAACTTTGTTGGTCCTTGACCTAAACCAGGCTTTGCTTTGTAATGCAAGAAACAAACTACAAGCAAAAATTTCAAACTGGCCTTCCTACAGTTAACTAGACCCCCTTGTGGGAGGATAAATAATGTATATAATCCTGAGAAATTTGGAAATGTGTGAAATTATCTAAGTTACTTGCTTTACTTGTCTGGTTGTATTTATGAATTTAGCACATTATGGGGTTGTTGTCTTCTACAAATAAGAAAGTGGAATAGAAAGGGGAAAAACACGTATAACCAGCAGAAATTCTTGATTCAGTGTTGCAAAGAGAAATAGAGACTGTAGGCCATAGGCCAGCAGACTCTTTAGTGGGAGCAGATCAATCAGCACAGTCAGGGGGCTCTAACTATATGCTGGGACTAACAGTGGCTGAAGGCCATGTACAGTGAGATTTACTGTTGGCTCATGGACATGCTTTGTAATTCTTATAAGACTCAGTGACTGGCAAGCACATCTGTGAAATGATCTGTGCCTTTAAATTCTATAACCTACTGGCTCCTGAAGGCTCAGGGCTCTGAGGCTGCGCCTCTGGTTTACTATAGGTATAATAGGGGTACAGGGCAGATGGGTGGCTTCCCCTCTTCACGTGGAGGGTTGACATCCCAGGGTATACTGTTTGTTCTAGGCTTATCCTGCCTTACTAACCAAAATTAACAACCTACTTTTTTTTTTCAATATACTTTTATTGATTTCAGAGAGTGGAAGGGAGTGGGAGAGAGATAGAAACATCAACGATGAGAGAGAATCATCGATCCGCTGCCTCCTGTACATCCTCTTCTGGGGATCAAGCCTGCATCCTGGGCATGTGTCCCTGACCGGAATCAAACCCGGGATCCTTCAGTCCACAGGCTGACGCCCTATCCACTGATTTAATGGCCTACTTTTTTTTTTTTTTTTTAAATATATTTTATTGATTTTTTACAGAGAGGAAGGGAGAGAGATAGAGAGTTAGAAACATCGATGAGAGAGAAACATCGATCAGCTGCCTCCTGCACATCTCCTACTGGGGATGTGCCCGCAACCCAGGTACATGCCCTTGACCGGAATCGAACCTGGGACCTTTCAGTCCGCAGGCCGACGCTCTATCCACTGAGCCAAACCGGTTTCGGCAATGGCCTACTTTTGAAAATGAAATTTATCGAATGTGAAAACCTGCTCTGGTTGGTTTGGTAATTATCACAAGGCTCTAGATCAGTGGTTCTCAACCTTCTTAATGCCGCGACCCTTTAATACAGTTCCTCATGTTGTGGTGACCCCCAACCATAAAATTATTTTCGTTGATACTTCATAACTGTAATTTTGCTAGTTATGAATCGTCATGTAAATATCTGATATGCAGGATGTATTTTCATTGTTACAAATTGAACATAATTAAAGCATAGTGATTAATCACAAAAACAATATGTAATCATATATGTGTTTTCCGATAGTCTTAGGTGACCCCTGTGAAAGGGTCGTTCGAGAACTGCTGCTCTAGATAATAGAATGAGTGTGTGGCATCAGCTATTCTGGCTTCATGCCAAGGTTATATATACTGTATCTCTAGAGTTTCTACACTCTATCTGACACTGGAAAAACTTTATGAAAGAGGGTAAGTGGTGAAAACTGGACAAGGAAACCCATTTTCACAACCATTTGTTCTACATGTTGCTCTAGAGGAAGGGGTAGCTCTTCTCATCTTTGAAATGTCCGTGGTCCCTGGTCCCTGACTTTATAAAGCGTGACTGTTAGCTGCCTGGCTGCCACTTCTGAGCCTGTAACTGCCTCTCTTTCTTGCACTAGTGCCCTCTACGCCTTGGGAATGACAGCGGTGGGCTTGGCCATCCTGTGGTATGTTTTTCGTTTGACTGGAATGACAGGAAGGGAAGGAGGATTCAGTGCTTTTGTAAGTTGCACAAATCATATTTCATTGAACTTGCAGTGTTAGGATTTGTGTGTTTGTTCTGGCTGAATGCTTTTCCCATAAACAACAGAATAAGTGTACAGTGAAAATGAACCTGTTGCAGAGGCCAGCCTGGACCCATAATTTGGCAGCTCATCTTTCCTTCTGTTTGGCTGACTGGAGGGTGTACAGTAACCACTTTTACCTGAGGGTCCTTTTCCTTGACTTGCTGGATGGCTGAGTCAAGGGAGTTTATGACAGCTTATTCTGCAGTTTTCAACATTAGCTGGGCATGACTGTTTTTGGTTTCCCTACTGGCTACACTAAGAAATTTTAAAGGTTATCTTTAAATAACATCCATAATACACTTTGAAAATATTCTATTGTTGTGGCATTAGTCATAACATGCGTTTTGCACCCCCATCAGAGGGGCCAGGGAGTGGGGGCAAAGTCTGCAGAAGGCATCTCCTGCTTCCTCCCTAGGATCTGTGACAAGGAGCTACCAGGAGGGGCCCTGTATCAGGGACACAGAGTGTCACCTCCTAGTTTCCACTTAGTCTAGGACCACATTCCTTTTTTTTTTAAAATATATTTTATTGATTTTTTACAGAGAGGAAGGGAGAGAGATAGAGAGTTAGAAACATCGATCAGCTGCCTCCTGCACATCTCCTACTGGGGATGTGCCCGCAACCCAGGTACGTGCCCTTGACCGGAATCGAACCCGGGACCTTTCATCCCGCAGGCCGACGCTCTATCCACTGAGCCAAACTGGTTTCGGCACACATTCCTATGTCTGTAGCCCAAGACTTAACAGCCTTACTTTTTCTTTTTCTTTTTCTTTTTTTTTTTTTTTTTTTTTGGTATAGCAAAGGTGGAGATTTATAGAAGAACAAGTACAGACTCCCACATGGGGAGAGGGAAAGAGTCCCACAGAATGAACTCCCACGTAGGGAGGGGGAAAGGGTCCCCAACAGCCTTACTTTTAATAGCAGCATGGTGTCTCGTGGGGATGTGCCATATTTTGCTCAACCAATTTGATAATTCTTGCATATTTATGGCTATTTATTTTTGTTGTTGTTGTATTTAAAAAATGCTCTGATGAAGTCTATGCACATGCATCTTTTGAGTGCCTAATTATTTGCCTCATGTACCTTACTAAAAGTAGATTGGCTGAAGTTTACACATCTTTCTAGGACCTTTAGCTATCCTGCCAGATTGCTCTCCAGAAATTTACCTATTAACATTTATACCAAAACTCCCCAGAATTGAGTGTTATTATATTACTTTTTAAATTTTTAATTGAATTTATTGGGGTGACATTGGTTAATAAAATTATATAGGTTTCAGTTGTAAAATTCTATAATACATCATCAGCATTTACATTACTTTTACAATCAGAAAAAAATTTACACAGTAGTGGGAAAGTCATATGGAATATAAAATAATGCAAAAGATTGTTAAGCCCTAGCCGGTTTGGCTCAGTGGATAGAGCATTACCTGCAGACCGAAGGATCCCAGGTTTGATTCTAGTCAAGGGCATGTACCTCAGTTGCAGGCTCCTCTCAGCCCTGGCCCTGGTCAGGGTGTGTGCAGGAGACAACTAATCGATGTGTTTCTCTCATACCGATTTTTCTCTCTGTCTTTCCCTCTCTTTTCCACTCTCTAAAAATCAATGGAAAAGTGTCCTCAGGTGAAGATTAAAAAAAAAAGACATTGTTAAATTACCTAATTTGTGTGTGGGAGTTTTGGGTTTTATTATTTTTTAATACAGTGGGGCCTTGACTTACGAGTTTAATTCATTCCGTGACGGAGCTCGTAACTCAAATTACTCATATGTCAAATCTTTTTTTTTTTTTTTTAAATATATGTATTTTTTATTGATTTCAGAGAGGAAGGGAGAGGAAAGGAGAGAGAGATAGAAACATCAATGATGAGAGAGACTCATCGATTGGCTGCCTTCTGCACGCCCCACACTGGGGATCAAGCCTGCAACCCAGGCATGTGCCCTTGACTGGAATCGAACCTGGGACCCGTCAGTCCACAGGCCAATGCTCTATCCACTGAGCCAAACCTGCCAGGGCCATATGTCAAATCTTAAAGTGAACAAGTGAGACACGTGATGTTGGGCTGATGTTGTGGCGTTCACTGTGACGTTCGCTGCGCCAACTAGCGGTGGGGTATCTGAAGCTGGCTCGTAACCCGAATTTTAGCTCGCAACTCAAAGCAAAAAATCGGCCGAGAGACGGCTCGTATCTCAAAAAACTCGTTAGTCAGGACACTCGTAAGTCAAGGCACCACTGTATATTTTTATGGATTTCAGAGAGGAAAGGAGAGGGAGAGAAAGAGATAGAAACATCAATGATGAGAGAGAATCATTGATCAGCTGCCTCCTGCATGCCCCACACTGGGATCGAGCTGGCAACCTGGGCATGTGTCCTGACTGGGAATGGAACTGTGACCTGGTTCACAGGTCGATGCTCAGCTACTGAGGCATGCCTGGCTGGGCTGGTTTTATTTTTTTAAGGCAGATTGCTAGATGCTAGAGAGCTTTCTTACAGTAAATGATGTAAAATAAACATTTCCCCTTGTATGTCTGAAATATGACCTTAACTGCCATCTGTCTGCATGAGTGGAGAGGGTGTGGGCTGGTCCTTCTGGGTGGTAGGAGGAGGGTTCCATGAGATCCTCCAGAAATGGGGTGGTGGGGACGAAGGGGCTTCAGGTGGAGCCAGCACTGAAGCACTCATCTTCTAGCTCTGGGAGTGCACAGCTCGATGCCTTTTGTTCTTTCTACCCAGAATCAGCTTAGAATGGCTCGTTTCACAATTGTGGATGGCAGGACGGGGAAGGGAGTCAGCTTCAAGGATGTGGCAGGGATGCATGAAGCCAAACTGGAGGTCAAAGAGTTTGTGGATTATCTGAAGGTAAGCACAGGTTCTGAACAGGAGATGGTGAGAACTACATTGATCAGATGTGTGCGCTGCGTGGTGAGCTCTCCGTGCTGAGGCGGGGGACAACATGCACTATACAAGCTAAATGCACAGTTTTGGTCAGCAGAAGGGCTGATAGCCAATCACTGATCGTACCCAGAGCCTCTGGGACACTGGCTTTTCCCAGAACCATGTGCACCATTGCTGATTCATGTCAGCACATGAATTGACCTTCAAGGGATCAGTTTCTTGAAAATTATGTTAGAAAAATCTGTTGTTAGTGTCACATTATCTGCTGCTTTTCTAGAGCCCAGAGCGCTTCCTTCAACTTGGTGCCAAAGTTCCTAAGGGTGCACTTTTGCTTGGACCTCCTGGCTGTGGAAAGACCCTGCTGGCCAAGGCCGTGGCGACAGAGGCCCAGGTGCCCTTCTTGGCGATGGCTGGCCCAGAGTTCGTGGAGGTCATTGGAGGTAAGCGTTGCTTGGGGGGCTGCAAACAGGCTCGCCCGACTACTTGTTCATGATGGCCCTCCTTTCACACGTTCTCCCTAAGGACTGAATTAATGAGGAAATGGGGGGAATAGAGAAGGAAAAACGAAACCTGGTTTATGGGAAACATTGTATTTATATATAGAATTGGGTGATGATGTTCTTTTTTTTTTTTTAATATTTTATTGATTTTTTACAGAGAGGAAGGGAGAGAGATAGTTAGAAACATCGATGAGAGAGAAACATCGATCAGCTGCCTCCTGCACATCTCCCACTGGGGGTGTGCCCACAACCCAGGTACATGCCCTTGACCGGAATCGAACCTGGGACCTTTCAGTCCGCAGGCCGACGCTCTATCCACTGAGCCAAACCAGTTTCGGCAATGATATTCTTCAAAGCTACTTCCGCTTGTGGTTCAGGAGAGTGAGCATCCTCTGCAGTGGTTCTCAACCTTCCTAATGCCACGACCCTTTACTACAGCTCCTCATGTTGTGGTGACCCCCAACCATACAATTATTTTCGTTGCTACTTCAAAACTGTAATTTTGCCACTGTTATGAATCGTAATGTAAATATCTGATATGCTATATGTGTTTTCTGATGGTCGCGACCCACAGGTTGAGAACCAGTGCTCTAGGGTGACCTCCACTCGTTTTCTTTGCTTGAGTGGATGCTTGCTGAGATTCCACCGTCCTTGCTGAGCACCTTTGGCCCCTGACCCAAGAGTAGGGCTCATCTCCTATTACCTGTCCGCTTCCTGATCCTCTGTGTCCCTTCAGGCCTTGGCGCTGCCCGTGTGCGGAGCCTCTTCAAGGAGGCCCGCGCCCGGGCCCCTTGCATCGTCTACATTGATGAGATTGACGCCGTGGGCAAGAAGCGCTCTACCACCATGTCTGGCTTCTCCAACACAGAGGAGGAGCAGACCCTCAACCAGCTTCTAGTGGAAATGGATGGTGAGCACTCTCCTCCGCTGCTTCTGTGAGGGGAGAAGGGTTTCAACTCTTTCAAAATAGTCCTTTTCTAGGTGGATCATGCTGCTTATGTTTGTTATCCCAGAACCTTACACTTATGCTCATAGACATTTTATTTTTCTCCAGTCGTTGGTCTCTACTGTTTCTCCACCTCAACACCTGTCACAGGTGATGGTGATCTCAGCACACAGAGAATGATTGTTTAGCAGATAAAAGCTAGAAGCAAGGTCAGCTTAAAAACTATTCATCATCATGCTGTCCTCAAGAAACAAAGCTTTTAATTTTAAAAAGTCAGGGGAATAGTAAAGAAAAAAGAGAAAAGCAATTAGGAATACAAGTGGCAGGTCAGGCCATGATGATGTTTTCAGTCTTGAATGACCTAAGTTGATTGTGCTGTTGTGTGTCTCTCTATATACTGTCCTGGTTGAAGGGTGAGCCAGATGGAGGGTGGAACAGGACAACTTGGAAACTGATGTGTCTGTTGCCCTGAGTGAGGTTCTTTGTTTGCCACCCTTGAAAATGACCTCTGGACTGGCTTCCACACAATTTCTTTTTCTTTCTTTTTTTATTTTATTTTATTTTTTTAATGTATTTTATTGATTTTTACAGAGGGGAGAGGGATAGAGCGTTAGAAACATCAATGAGATAGAAACATCCATCAGCTGCCTCCTGCACACTCCCTACTGGGAATGTGCCCACAACCAAGGTACATGCCCTTGACTGGAATCGAACCTGGGACCCTTCAGTCCACAGGCTGATGCTCTGTTCACTGAGCCAAACCAGTTATGGCCCTTTTTTTATTTTTTAATGGAAATGACCCAGTAAAGGTGACATGGAATTGTTTTCTTTTGAGCTACTTTGGCAAGATATTCTTTTTGTGTTTGTGTGTATAGATATGGTATGTTCATTTTTATTGTAGTGAAGGATGCATATAATATAAAATTTACCATTTTAACCATTTTTCTGTGTACAGGTCAGTGGCATTAAGTACATTCTAATTGTTGGTCAACCATCACCATTATCCATCTCCAGAACTTTCTCATCTTAAACTGAAGCTCTGTCCCTGTTAAACACTAACTCTCCATTCTCCTTTTCCAGTCCCTGGCACCCATCCTTCTACCTTCTGTCTGTGAATTCAACTATTCTAGGGACTTCATATAAATGGAATCATATAGTATTTATTCTGTTGTATCTGACTTATTTCACTGAGCAGAATTTCCTTCCTTTTAAAGACTGAATAATAATCCATTGTATAGATAGACTACATTTTGTTTATCCATTCATCTGTTGATGGACACTTGTGGCAATTGTGAATAATGGGCATTCAAATATCTCTTCATGTCCTAGCTGTGTAAGATCCATTTTTAGCTTTTCTTTAATCAGAATTCTAGTTGTATTTTAGCTATTGTAGATGAGGGAGACACTTTTTTCTCAATGTATTTTTGGTTCTAAGGAACTATTTATCTGTGTATTTATTTTCCCTTTTAAAGTTTTTTTTACCATTTGGGATGTATATCTGTTGTCCAGGATACGGATAGTTGAATTTGATTGTATGTGACTAAGGGCAAAACTTTTCTTTTAACCTCTCATTTTGAAGTAAAATAATCTCAGACTTATAAAAGCATTGTACAGCAGTCAGAAGAGTTCCTTTATAGCTTCCCCCAAGCTTTCGAAGGCTGACATGGCTGTTACCAGGCTGTAAGTGTCCATGGATATTCCTTTTCTGGTCCAGGATTTAGTGTGCCAACATAACACATTTAGTCTCTTTGGTCTCTTCCAGCCTGGGTCTAGTTCTCTGTCTTTTTTTATGTGTGGCCAAGACACTTTTTAAAAATATATATATTTTATTGATTTCTTATAGAGAGGAAGGGAGAGGGATAGAGAGTTAGAAACATTGATGAGAGAGAAACATCGATCAGCTGCCTCCTGCACACTCCCTACTGGGTATGTGCCTGCAACCAAGGTACATGCCCTTGCCCAGAATCGAACCTGGGACCCTTGAGTCCGCAGGCCGATGCTCTATCCATTGAGCCAAACCGGTTAGGGTGCCAAGACACTTTTATAGACCAGTTTCATTTAAGGATGCTGTTCTGTGTCCTCAGAAATAGGTTGAGTCAAGCATTTTTGACAGGAACAACACAGTAGTCTTGGTGTAACTCACTGCAGGTGGCATTGCTATGTCTCGTCCCTGGTGCTGAGATTCTGACTGAGATGGCCTCCAGCGGGCTTGGCAAGGCCTTTCCACACACATTGTTGAGTAGGTCAGATGGACAGATGCATGTGGAAGCATTTTATAAGCTCTGCAAGCTCTCCAGTTTTAAAATTAAGGTATAATTTCTAACAAAGCTTAGGAAAGGGCTGTATTACACTGTAAGAATGGTCCCCCCTGGTGCTACCTTGTGGACACAAACAATCAAGATCAGAGGAGCTACCTTCCACATGAAGAGCAAGCTTTCCTTAGAAGGAATTTTTCAGAGAACTCGGTGTCTTTTTATGTTTTTAATATGTTTTTGTTTATTCTATTTTATTTTTGTTAATCTTTATCCTGGGATATTTTTCCCATTGGTGTTTTTTTTAGAGAGAGTGGAAGGGAGAGGGAGAGACAGAGAGAGAGAAACATTGATGTGTGAGAGACACATCAATTGGTGCCTCCTGCCTGTGGTCGGGGATAGAGCCTGCAACCCAGACATGCGTCATTGACCAGAATCAAACCCGTGACCCCTCAGTCTGCAGGCTGACACTCGAACCAGTGAGCCAAACTGGCCAGGGCTGTTTTTGTTGGTTTTAGGGAAAGAGAGAAAAACATCAATTCAGAGAGAAACATCAATCAGCTGCCTACTGCATGCCCCCTATGGGCAATTGATCTGCAACCTGAGCATGTGCTCTGACTTGAAATTGAACTGGTGACTGTTTCGTGCACAGGACAATGCCCAACAAACTGAGCCACAGGGGGCAGGGCAAGACCTGGGTGTCTTTAGAGATGTTAGTAGAGTGAGTTGTCGAGAGACACACCCTCAAAGATAGGGGCTCTTCAAGAGTACTTTCCAGGCCAGGTTCCAGGGACCCCCTACCCCAGAGTCCTGTATGCCAGACCCGCTGTGACTCTTCTCCACCCAGTGCCTAGCTGTGGCGACTGAGTTCTGCTTTTCAACTGAGGCACTATTTTATAGTTGAAAAATTTGCCCGCCTAGTGTTGTACAGTGGTTGAGGGTCAACCTATGAACCGGGAGGTCACAGTTCATTTCCCAGTTAGGGCACTTGCCCTGGTTGCAGGCTCTATCCTAGTAGGAGCGTGCAGGAGGCAGCCAATCAATGATTCTCTCTCATCATTGATGTTTCTATCTCTTTCTCCCTCTCCCTTTCTCTCTGAAATCAATAAAAATATGTTTAAAAATATATATATATCCATTTTTTAAAAATTTGGTGTCTGCCCTGGCTGGGTAATTCAGTTGGTTAGAGTGTTGTCCCAATATGCCAAGGTAGCTGGTCAGGGCATGTACAAGACTCAAACAATGAATGCATAAATAAGTGGAACATCAAATCGGTGTTTCTCTTCCTCTCTCTTTCCCTTTCTTTCCCTCTATCCCTCCATTTCTGTCCCTCTCCCTCTGAAGGAATATGAAAAACACCTCTGGTTCTGTCCATTAATGGGCCAGGTGGGCAGATGGTGGAGATGGGCCAGGCCTGAGGGTACCGGAGCCTAAGGTCTGCTGTCATCTGTGACAGACCAGGCTGGGACCCATCACTGTGCATGTGATGGTTCAACTTCTGGTTGTCTTTTTATTTTTTATTTTTATTTTTTAAATATTTTATTGATTCTTTACAGACAGGAAGGGAGAGGGATAGAGAGTTAGAAACATCGATCAGCTGCCTCCTACACACTCCCCACTGGATGTGTGCCCGCAACTAAGGTACATGCCCTTGACCGGAATCGAACCTGGGACCCCTGAGTCCACGGGCCGACGCTCTATCTACTGAGCCAAACTGGTTAGGGCTCTTTTTATTTTTTTAAAAATATTTTTATTTCAGAGAGCAAGGGAGAAATAGAGAGAGATAGAAACATCCATGATGAGAGAGAATCATTGATTGGCTGCCTCTTGCTACTGGGGATCGAGTCCGCAACCCGGGCATGTGCCCTTGACCTGCATCAAACCCGGGACTCTTCAGTCTGCAGGCCGATGCTCTATCCACTGAGCCAACCAGCTAGGGCTGGTTGTCTCTTTAAAAGAATGAATAATCTTTGTGATACTGAGTGGACAAAGATGATTAGTTGGCTGTCCAAACCCAATATGTCACCAGGTCTCACTGCCCTGCTGGATGCAGTGATGTCCATGTTTGTCATATGGCTGTCTAAGCCTTGGACCCTGCTGGGGTCCAGCCCCAGCGGGTCCAGGGGTCCCCAAAGGTGTGGACGGAGTCGGCGAAGAAGGAATGACATGGAGGCAGCGTTCAGTTGATCAGCAGCCTAGCCAGGATCTCCAGCCAGGATCTCCAGCCAAGCTCTGGTCTGGATCTCCAGAGAGGTTCTGCTTCGGATCTCCAGCCAGGTTCTCTGTCCATGTTCTCTTGCTAGGTTCTCCAGGTTCTCCAGCCAGGTTCTGTAGCCATGTTCCCTCGCTAGGTTCTCCAGCCAGGTTCTGTCCAGGTTCTCCAGCCAGGTTCAGTCACCAGGTTCTAGTCAGGTTCTCTTGCCAATTTCTGTAGTCAGGTTCAGTCCAGGATCTTTTGCCATGTTCTCTCGCTAGGTTCTGTCTCTAGGTTCTGAGGCCAGTTTCTGTCCAGGATCTTTTGCCATGTTCTCTCCAGCGAAGTTCTTCTGTCTCTAGAGAACGTTCGGTGTAGGTTCTGTGCCTCGGTTCTGTCTCTCTCTCTTCTGTATTCTAAGTTCTGTCTCTTACTGTCTTATTACATCTGTATTTATACCAGTTGATTCAATCCTATCAATCTCTATTACAAAGGTTAGGGCGTTTCTTATCTCCATT